CCTCCTCTCACTCACCTGCTTCAGCTTCTGATCTTCTCTCTGCCACAGGCTCTCCAGTTCACTATGCCCTATAGCCCCTTCGGTTCCTGACACCTCCTCTACCCAGTCTTCCCCAACTTCTCCCTGCAACCACACATTGTCCCACTGCCACTTCCTAGGCTCTGAGCCTTCTTTCTATGGTGGTTTCCCAGCTGGTTCTTCCCACCGTTCCTCTATGTCCAACCAGTCCGTGACAAGAGTGTTTGCTGCAGGCTCTGCTGCTACCTGAGCCCATAAACTCCACCCAAAACAGTTCTCTGATTTACAGATGACATGATGTAGGCAGTAAAGGAGAAAACGTACCTTTGGAGAGGGCCACCACAAAGCCAATGACAATCAGCAGGTAGGAGACACCCAACAGTGCATAGATCAGGAGAAATGGCCTCTGAATAAGATTTCTCCCTTCATAAGAGGAAAATGAGATGATGGGAACTTGACCCTATGCAGACTTCTCTTTGGTAAAAAGTAAGGTAAAAAGTATTGGCCTTCAAGAAAGGATTATGGCTGGTGCATTTTCCCTTCATAGGAGCTTCTAATCACTTTTACATGCATACAGAGATGGAGGAGAATTTTGTTAGGTCTGCATGTTAAAGCTAACCAACCTAATCTGCACCTATGGGACAAATACCTGGATCCAAACCAGAGATGGATAAATCCACTAAGCTCAGTTTCTCCTGGTTTCTCATTTTTCCATTCTTAAATTCAATTTTCCACATTTCACACTGCATCAGTGTGCAATTTTTTAAAAAGTCCTCACAAAAATTTGTGTGAACTGAACATAATTTCTCCACCATTCCTAATCAGAACATAATTCTTCCCTACACTGAATTTTGAGATAAGAGTTCTTGACAATATATATATATAAATGTGTGTGTGTGTGTGTGTGTGTGTATATATATATATATATATATATATATATATATATATATACATACATATACAAACCAGAGATTTATATGCGCAAAAGGGAGGTGCCGTGGGTTAAACCACAGAGCCTAGGACTTGCAGATTGGAAGGTCGGCAGTTTGAATCCCCACGACGGGGTGAGCTCCCGTTGCTCGGTCCCTGCTCCTGCCGACCTAACAGTTCGAAAGCACGTCAAAGTGCAAGTAGATAAATAGGTACTGCTCTGGCGGGAAGGTAAACGGTGTTTCCGTGCGCTGCTCTGGGTCCCCAGAAGCGGCTTTGTCATGCTGGCCACATGACCTGGAAGCTGTACGCTGGCTCCCTTGGCCAGTAAAACAAGATGAGTGCGGCAACCCCAGAATCGGTCATGACTGGACCTAACGGTCAGGGGTCCCTTTATGTTTAGAAATGTGTACACTGAGATATGTGTATTTAAATACTATCCTGTGACAAAGTATCTAAATACAATTCTTATTTGATTGATGCACGCATTGTATTTATACCCCATCTTTTTCTTCCAACCAGCTTAAGGTGACATACATGGTTCCCCTCCTCCTTATTCCATTGACACAACAACCGTGTGAGGCAGGTTTGTCTGAGAGGCAGTGATTGGCCCAAGGTCACCCGTCCAATTTTTTGTATGGATTAAAAAAAAAGATGAAAGTGGAAGCTGGATAGAAGGGACTTATGAATGCAGAATTGACAGAGCCTGGAAGTAGACTAATCCATCCCTCGCTCTGTGCATCTGGAGATATACTCCCCCCGCCTCATTTGGACTGAGGTCGGCTCTTCTAATTTATTTTATTGAGAGGGTAAATAGAGAGACTAACCATTTGTGGTTAATGATTTAGAAATGTGGCATTCAACCTTTTTAGGCCATCAAAAAAATTTGCTTCATTAACCACAAATGGCCAGTCACTAATTTTGATGGGCAAAAAATGTAGCAAGCAAATATGTTCTGCGTGTGGCACAGAAGTCGCAGCTCAGTGAGTGGGGACGGAATGAAGTTCTTTTGTGCTCATTGAGGCTGCTTGCCAAAGCAGCGGGCCTAAGATGACCACTTCACCCAGACGTGCAAATCTGCAAAGCCTTGTGGTTTCAGCGTCTGCTCCTTGGCTCTTCAGGCTGGGGTGAGGATTTCCACACACACTCACTGGGGCTGCCAAAATGAATGTATTCTTTAGGGCAAGGAATAATTAGCAAGCCTAACTGCAAGGGTCCACTTAAGTGTTGTAAGGCAACTGACTGCCACCCACACTTCAAATGAAAAAAGAAATAGCAAATCAATATAGTAGTATTCAGTTCAAAATACAAAATCCAAGAAACATTAAAAGCACCCGAAAAAAGCAGCAAACTCAGCAGCATTCCAAGTTAAAAGTGACTTTAAAAACAGGTTAAATTCAAAGATCTTTGCTTGGGGCTGAACAAAGCTCCAAACAAGCATAACTTGGGAGAATGTTCCAGAGATCGTGGGCTCCACCACCATCCCTAGACTTGCTGCACTTCAAGCAGATTTAGTCACCTGGAGAGGATCCTTCCCAAGAGCTGATGGATCTCACTGATTGGCCGATCCTTCAGGAAAAAGCTACAAAACCCTTGGCAAATGCCAAACAAGGGGAACAGGGAGATCATCTTTACCTTTAGAAGTTCGAAAGTTATCTGCATACTTTTCTTCATCCATCTCAGGAAGCTGTGTGAGGGAAAGGTGTTGTTTGCCTTTGGTGTTGTTTTGAAACACTTTTGAAAATAGGGACTTTTGTAATTTTACTGGGGTTGCTCTGCATAGATGGTTAATGATTAATTTAGGAGAAACCCCTGTTCTCCTATCCTCAGACTACCTCTTTCCAGATCATACCTCCCCCTTGAAAGCATGCCCATTGCACACAAATCCAGCAAGGTTCATGGGCAACTACTCGTCTTTTGATGAATCTGTAGTAGAATTTTGCAATTGTACCAGATTAGCAGAAGCCGGGTCATTGTTCCCTGTTCTCAGCTATGTAATTTCGGGAAATGGGATCACCCTAAGGCGGACGCCTGAAGGTGATTTTACTAGCTGCACGGGTTGATATGGGAGAACACAATCCTATCATTTTCCTGGGCTCAAGCTGTGAAGACTCGAATGTTAAAAGCAGTACTTTGAACTGTGTCTGGGAATAAAACTACAACTGGCGTAGTCATGAAAAGATACTCTAATTATTTGGGGGTGTTAATCAGGATGCCAGACCTGGATGCCAATCCCTGGATCTGGCAAGTGCTAGAATTTAATCAAGGCTTCCATTCTTGGAACAGCCAGGCTAGTTTTCTGGGGAGTTGACAGCCTGGGTGATGAGCCATTAAGGGGGATTCAGGGGCAAATGGGTGGGGGCCCCTCTCTCAACAGATAAAAGTCAGAGTTTGGAGCAGTGATGTGACCTAGAAGCAAAGCAGTGAGCTGGAATCAGAGCAACGCAGAAAGCAATGAGTGATTTATGTCTGAATCTAAGGCTGTGGCTGTGGGGGAAGCAAGGCACTTTTGGGGTGCTGTGAACCCCTCCATCATAGGCTCAGGTTGTATATATGTGTAAATAAACCACACATCATTAATACAGTGGTACCTCAGGTTAAGAACTTAATTCGTTCTGGAGGTCCATTCTTAACCTGAAACTGTTCTTAACCTGAGGTACCACTTTAGCTAATGGGGCCTCCCGCTGCCGGAGCCCGATTTCTGTTCTCATCCTGAAGCAAAGTTCTTAACCTGAGGTTCTATTTCTGCATTAGCGGAGTCTGTAACCTGAAGTGTCTGTAACCCGAGGTACCACTGTGCAACACAGTCTCCACTGTGCCTCAAAAGTAAACACAAACTGGGTGATGTGGCACCCTGAGGACAAAATTTGGCACCCCCTAAATGTTTATTATTTTTTATGGATCTTCTCAGTAGGTATTATTATTATTATTATTTTGCACCCCCTCAGCTTGAGGTTCTTTGTGGGGGAACCATCTGTACCTCCCCCAACAAACTGAGGTTGATGTTCAATAGCTTGGGGGAGAAGAAGCTTTTCTTGCCTTTATTTTGTACACGAGTAATAAGTGCAGGTGGCTAAGACTTTAAGATCAGAAGGACCCTAAATCTCTCTTGTGGCATTCCAGCAGTTAGCAGACAGCAACAGCAGTCTAAATCAATAGCTACTGTTGGTTTAGGCTACTTGTCAATATTATAATGCTTTCTAACCCAGGGAACAGTTAAGGAAGCTGTTTCCTGGATGATACATTATGTGTGCACATAGGATTTTTCAGAGGTGTAGAATCTTATCTATGGCATGGAATTTAGGTTAAAATGCATGTTACACAAGAGCATAGTCTGGAGAAATTATTCGAAGTTGAGCTAATGGGGTGTGTGTGTGTGCTTGGATACAGCACTTCCTTGCTTCTCTGCTAATTTCCCTAATACTTCTTCTTGTGCATAAAAATGTTTTTTGTTTTTTAAGAACCTCTTTCAGTCTTGAATGTTTCCTCTATCTATTCCATCCAGACATTTAGAAGCTTCTGTTACCATCTTTCATTAACACAGCTTGTTGTGTTGGCTGAACTCAGTCTCAACAATCGCCTGTTTAATACAAACCAATGTAAAACCATGGGTTGTGAAGCTGGCTTGTTTCAACAAAGCACAGTTAAGATTAACCAGAGGTGTGGATGTAACCCTAAACTGCAGTTAATAAAAAAATGGAAGCAAATGCTTTCAGTCACCTCATTCACACCATAGGAGAGGAATCCATGAGAGGCTTAATTCTCATAATGGCAAACCACCATTTATGTCTATTATGCCTTCCAGTTGATGAATACCAGATTCCTGCCCTAACCAGGAAGTGAGGGCATCTTCTGAGTGGATTACCACTGGCTTTTCCCTAAAACAACATGAGATCTTTCTTGTGAACTTTCTTGATGTATAAGGCAAATAGGAAGTTAGACTACATTTTACTAAAAGCAGGCCCACTGCAATGAATGGACTCAAGTCTGCTACGCTTTGCTCTGAGTGGGACTTACATTGAAAAGGATGATCAACTGTAAAGCCAATGGACTTCAGTTCAGTATGCTGTGCAATGGATGTTTATTTTTTAGGTAAATAAACTGATATGATAACACTCTTGAAGTTTAGGCATGTTTCCTTTCAGAGGTGCAATCATCTTGCCAGTTGGATCTACTCTGAGTATAATTAGCACTGGATACAACCCTCAGCTTTTCTGCTGTGACGATGTTCCAGAGCACATGAAGCCACACTTTGAAAGTCATGTTGTCAATGAGTGTGCAGCTCCTTGCCATTTCTCTCTGGGTTGCCATCAACTTAAATGAGATCAAGACTATGCATGTGATGGTTTCATTGCCTCTTGCTCCCCAGAGCTTCTCCACAATGTGCACAGGCTCACGGTGTAGACACAGCACTGGAATCTCCAAGGGAGACAGCACTTGTCACAACACAGCCTGGCAAATCCGCCTGGATTTTGTGGATGACCTGGTCTTGGAACTCTAACCCCCTTATATCAAGATGTCTGAGCCGGGGCAATTTCTGGCAAACGGCCACAATGGCTTCTGAGGAAAGCTTGCAACAGGCCTCCAGGCAGAGGTCCTCCAAGTCTAGCAAGCTGCTTAAACAAGGAAGACCTCTGTTTTCCAGAGAAGGATTGTCCCCGAGGTCCAAACTTTGCAGGTGCCTCATGTGGAACGCAATGACATGTGTGAGTAAATTGCCAATGCTACAGCGACGCAGGGTGAGGTGTTCTAGGCCTCCCAGGTGTGGTGCTGCTGCCTGGAAACCTGCAACAGTTATCCGGTACGCCTCGGACAGGACCAGAGTCTTGAGATTGCCCTGGATGGAGATGTTCAGCAGGTGCTGGCTGGAGAAGGCAGGGACATTCTGGATTACAAGGTGCTGAATCTGTGGAAAGGCAGGGCAGGTCTTCGAGGCTTCAGACACTTTGAACCACAGAGAAGGGATCTCACAGGAGCTCAGTTCCAGGGTCGTGACAGAGGAAGGGATGCAATCATAGGAGAGTGAGCGAAGGTCCGTCTCTGTCAGGCACAGGCGGTGGAGATTGGGGCATTGCCTGCCCAAGGCCTGCATTAGTGCTGGGGTAAAAACTTCTTGCTTGCGAATGGAGTGGAGGCATCCCCGTGCCTTCAGCGCCCGCAGGCTGCCTCGAAGATTGTTCCGCAGCAAGTGCCATAGGGCCTTGGAGGACATCTAAGTACAGGGAAGTGAAGTTTGCATGCATATCAAAAGCCACATGGGCACACGAGGAAGAGAGCACTACAACTGCCAAATCACTGCCAGACCAACTAACGCAAGGCTGCAAGGCTGTCCTCATTTAGCTGGAGACAGGCCCATGCAACTCTGTGGGACTCGCACCTTGGGGGAACATAAAGGGCAACAGATGGCGGAACATGCACAGTTTGCAGCCAATTTCCTAATGTCACATCCACACTGCATATTTAAAGTTTCCCCTACCCCCGAAATCCCAGGAACTAGAGTTTGTTAACGGTGCTTGGAATTATGGTTCTGTGAAGGGTAAACTACAGCTTCCATTGTTCTTTAGGAGGAAGCCATGTGCTTTATAATGTGGATGTCAAATGTACTGGCAAAATGTTGAAGTTTCCAAAATGTTGTTTCATTTGCTGTTTGGGAACTCAGGAAAGGGATGGAAATGTTTCATTTTAATTTAGATGCATGCAGGGAGAAGGGGGTGGGACCTCAGAAGCAAATCTCACTGTGCTCAATGAGGCTGACTTCTTAGAAATTTTAGGATTATAGCCTAAGATTCCAGTGACTAAGGACAGAGCCTGCCCTCATCCTCCCCTGACTAATAAATCTAAAATAAATTGTACAAAATAGTGTATTAAATTTACAGAATTTTGTACATTAAGTACATTACTTTAATTTGCATAATTTATACAGGTTGGCAGAAAGTCTCATGCCTGCTGTCCGCTAGATCATTTTGCTCCAGGATACTGGATATCTGGCTAAAGTCATCCTCTAGCGTTTTCGCACTGACTCTGATCTGGCATAGCCTGCTCCTCACATGGGGGAAGGGCCAGAGGTCAGTGGCAGAACACTTGCTTTGCCTGCAGAAGGTCCCAGTTTCCATTCCTGGCATCTCCAGGTGGAAACCCTGGAAAGCTGCAGCCAATCATTGTACAGTGGTACCTCTGGTTGCGAACAGGATCCGTTCTGGAGGCCCGTTTGCAACATGAAAAGAAGGCAACCCGCGTCTGCGCATGCGCGGGTTGAGATTCACCGCTTCTGCGCATGCACGTGACATCATTTTGCACGTCTGTGCATGTGCGAGCGGCGAAAGCCAGAAGTAACCCTTTCCGGTACTTCTGGGTCGCCGTGGGACGTATCCTGAAAGAACATAACATGAAGCGGATGTAACTTGAGGTATGACTGTACATAGTACTTGGCTAGATGGGCCTCTTCTCTAACTTGGTGTAGGGCAGCTCCCTATGCGCCTACCTACCCAGGTCTGTTGCCACAACTACCCAGCAACTAGTTTAAGATGGAGGGCAGGCATTTTTACCTTGTAAGGCGTTAGGTCCAAGTATCTCCACAGCAATTTGTCCCGCACCAAGCGACGCCATCGTCTGCAGACTCTGCAGAAAGACGAGAATAGCTGAGTCATTGTCATGGGCTTGAGATGAAACAGCCAGTTTGATCATCTGGCATCCTGCCATACCTGGGGTTGCTATATTTCAAAAAGTGAAAATTGGGACAGAAAAGTTGTTGGGCTTTTTTGGTTTTGCCCAAATCTCGAACAATTGAACAAACTGTAAGTTTTTGAACTAATTTTAAGGGAAATCACCAAAAACAACACTGCCAACATGGGCTGCCATACACCCATATTGTCCCAGATGTTTCAATGATTTCCACCTGAATGCTGTTTCCAGCTGTTTTTGATTGCCAGCTATATCCAGGAAATTCCGGACATATGGTAAGCCTAGCCAAACGGCACAGAACCAAGGGGGGCAACCATACTGCTTGAATAATTACATTGCCTGGAATTAACTTTCCTGGAATCTGTACAGCAGATGACTGCTGCTTAGACTCCTCTTTGATCTGATGTGGCCGTGAGAGGAGAACAGCTGTGTGATAAGGGAGAAAGGCTGAAGGAGGTTGAGGAGGAGGCTTGGAGCTGAGCAGGCAGAAGGTAAAAAGTGTGTATTAAACTGAAGTTAACAGAGTAATTCCCAGTTGTGATGGATGGAAGTGAGAGCTGGACCATAAAGAAGGCTGATCGCCGAAGAATTGATGCTTTTGAATTATGATGCTGGAGGAGACTCTTGAGAGTCCCATGGACTGCAAGAAGATCAAACCTCTCCATTCTGAAGGAAATCAGCCCTGAGTGCTCCCTGGAAGGACAGATCATGAAGCTGAGGCTCCAGTACTTTGGCCACCTCATGAGAAGAGAAGACTCCCTGGAAAAGACCCTGATGTTGGGAAAGATGGAGGGCACAAGGAGAAGGGGGCGACAGAGGACGAGGTGGTTGGATAGTGTTTTCGAGGTTACCAGCATGAGTCTGACCAAACTGCGGGAGGTAGTGGAGGACAGAGGTGCCTGGCGTGCTCTGGTCCAGGGGGTCACGAAGAGTCGGACACGACTAAACAACAACAACAGAGTAATTTAGTTTATAGAGATTTTTTGCACTGATATTTGGGATATGGCTGGGGCTAGAAATGGGATTGATCTTAACGTTGTGTGGTTTTTAGAACCGTTAGCCATTTTGAGTTTCTTTTGCAAAATATGAAGTATATAAACTTTTAAAATAATATGGGGGGGAATAAACACATGAATAACCGCCTCCGATAATTTCACATTCGATAATGATGACATAATGTGAACAGCTCAGTGGGCAGAGCACGAGGCTTAATCTGCGGGTCGTGGGTTCGATTCTAGACGGCCCTCGCGGCCCCGCCCCGTCCTAGTTCCAGCGTTCCAACCACAACGCCCCTGCAGGCGAGCCTGGGCATTGCAGCCCCGCCCTGGCCAGGAAGCGGCTCGAGAGGACGGAGAGCGGCAGCCGCAGGATGGACCGAACCACTCTGTGGAAGTGGGGGGGGGGAGGAAACCATGAAGCCGGGAGAAGGGAAGGAAACACCCACCGGGCCCCGCCCAGCCGGTCGCGCGGCGGCAGGCACTCCAGAATCCGGAGCAGGAGCGAGTCCGGGAGGGCGCAGAGGCCTGGCCGCTCCATTCCGCCGCCGTTGGTTCCTCCCGCGGGCTGCTCCGGCCTCGCTTCCGCTTCCTCTGGGAGAGAGTCCCCCGGAAGTAGCTCTCGTGGTTCCTCTTCCGGGGAGTCGCTTCCGTTTGCGCCTGGTCTCCGGCTGTCAAGGTAGGTCCGGGGCGGCAAGCGGGGATCCTCCGGGGCCGGAGACGGGGCGGGCCTCCCGTCGCCCCACCCCAGGCCTCTGGCCCTGCTGGCGGGGTCGGGTGGGGGCTGGAGGGCAACCCGCGCGGCCTCTCCCGGGGCCGCCCAGGCGCTGCGCTGAGTTGCTCTGCCCGCGAGTCTCTTGCGTTGAGAGGCAGCCTTTATTTTGTATGCTTCCGGTGCGGTTCATTTCGAGCTCTTTGCTATGTCGCTTTAAATGTGCTTGTGCCTGGTGGGGTTATTGGTTCGTTTCGTTAGTGTGCTTGTTTTTATTGTGTTCTCTGTGGTTTTATTGTGTTCTCTGTGGTGTTCTCAGCCAGTGGGGTGTAGTGGTTAAGAGCGGTAGACTCGTAATCTGGGGAACCGGGTTCCCGTCTCCGCTCCTCCACCTGCAGCTGCTGGGTGACCTTGGGCCAGTCTCCCTTCTCTGAAGTCTCTCAGCCCCACTCACCTCACAGAGTGTTTGTTGTGGGGGAGGAAGGGAAAGGAGAATGTGAGCCGCTTTGAGACTCCTGAAGGGGAGTGAAAGGCGGGATATCAAATCCAAACTCCTCCTCCTCCTCTTCTTTTATTCTGCATTTTTATGCTGTGAACCACCCTGAGATCTTCAGATGAAGGGCGGTATGCAAATTTAATAAATGATAGTAATAATAATAATAATAATTGTTTGGAATTTATCTGAGGATAAATGTACAGAATGTGAATCCATCCCTTTGCAGTTGGATTGTTGAAAGAGTGGTTATTGTGTAACTGTAAAATATTGGGGGACAACTAGAAGTGGATTCCTGTGTTTTATCCTAGTTATGTGCCTTTGAGAGTTGTGAATAAAGACAACATTTCCCATGATGTTAACGTTCTGGAGGGAGAAGTTGTACTGGTAACACTTCTCTATCTTAATTTTCTTTAATCATCAGTATTCCCTGTCAGTTGAGAAAGCATCCCCCCATTTTCTTTCGATTCTGCTTTTAAAAACTGTATACCCCAAGTATACAGGACCAAGTGGCATAAGACATACACTTTTAAACAAATGAATCATCCTGTCTTTTCTTCCCAACAGAGCCTCAGAAGGCAGGAGGCCAAAGGTCTCCTTGCTCAGCAGTTTCTTGGGGTTGTTCTGGTACCTGATCGGGATGATTGAAGTGGTTTGCAACGATCGGCTGGGCAAGAAAGTGAGAGTGAAGTGCAAGTATCCAAAGCTCAAAAGAAGTAGCTTCTGCTGGAGGCTCGAATGGCATCTTCCTGCCCTATATGCAGCAATCGTGTTTTATTTGAGGCTCTGGTGTATGAAAAAAGAGGAGGCAAGGTAGTGATCACTTGGGACGTGAACATGGTTTAAATGGAGGTTCCATTTTTTAATTGTGTACCTGTTGTTTAGTCGTTTAGTCATGTCCGACTCTTCGTGACCCCATGGACCAGAGCACGCCAGGCACTCCTGTCTTTCACTGCCTCCTGCAGTTTGGTCAAACTCATGCTGGTAGCTTTGAGAACACTGTCCCACCATCTTGTCCTCTGTCGTCCCCTTCTCCTTTCCCAACATGAGGGTCTTTTCCAGGGAGTCTTCTCTTCTCATGAGGTGGCCAAAGTATTGGAGCCTCAGCTTCAGGATCAGTCCTTCCAGTGAGCGCTCAGGGCTGATTTCCTTCAGAATGCATAGGTTTGATCTTCTTGCAGTCCATGGGACTCTCAAGAGTCTCCTCCAGCACCAAAATTCAAAAGTATCAATTCTTCGGCGATCAGCCTTCTTTATGGTCCAGCTCTCACTTCCATACATCACTCCTGGGAAAACCATGGCTTTAACTATACGGACCTTTGTTGGTAAGGTGATGTCTCTGCTTTTTAAGATGTTATCTAGGTTTGTCATCACTTTTCTCCCAAGAAGCAGGCGTCTTTTAATTTGGTGACTGCTGTCACCATCTGCAGTGATCATGGAGCCCAAGAAAGTAATATCTCTCACTGACTCCATTTCTTCCCCTTCGATTTGCCTGGAAGTGATGGGACCAGTGGCCATGATCTTTGTTTTTTTGATGTTGAGCTTCAGACCATATTTTGTGCTATCCTCTTTCACCCTCATTAAAAGGTTCTTTAATTCCTCCTCACTTTCTGCCATCAAGGTTGTGTCATCTGCATATCTGAGGTTGTTGATATTTCTTCCAACGATCTTAATTCTGACTAGGGATTCATCCAGTCCAGCCTTTCGCATGATGAATTCTGCATATAAGTTAAATAAGCAGGGAGACAATATACAGCCTTGTCGTACTCCTTTCCCAATTTTGAACCAATCTGTTGTTCCATATCCAGTTCTAACTGTAGCTTCTTGTCCCACATAGAGATTTCTCAGGAGACAGATGAGGCACTCCCATTTCTTTAAGAACTTGCCATAGTTTGCTGTGGTCGACACAGTCAAAGGCTTTTGCATAGTCAATGAAGGAGAAGTAGATGTTTTTCTGGAACTCTCTAGCTTTCTCCATAATCCAGTGCACGTTTGCAATTTGGTCTCTGGTTCCTCTGCCCCTTTGAAATCCAGCTTGCACTTCTGGGAGTTCTCGTTCCACATACTGCTTAAGCCTGCCTTGTAGAATTTTATGCATAACCTTGCTAGCGTGTGAAATGAGTGCAATTGTGTGGTAGTTGGAGCATTCTTTGGCACTGCCCTTTGGGATTGGGATGTAGGATCTTCTCCAATCCTCTGGCCACTGCTGAGTTTTCCAAATTTGCTGGCATATTGAGTGTAGCACCTTAACAGCATCATCTTTTAAAATTTTAAATAGTTCAGCTGGAATGTCATCACTTCCACTGACCTTGTTATTAGCGATGCTTTCTAAGGCCCATTTGACTTCACTCTCCAGGATGTCTGGCTCAAGGTCAGCAACCACACTACCTGGGGTGTACGAGACATCCATATCTTTCTGGTATAATTCCTCTGTGTATTCTTGCCACCTCTTCTTGATGTCTTCTGCTTCTGTTAGGTCCTTACCACTTTTATCCTTCATTATGGTAATTTTTGCATGAAATGTTCCTTTCATATCTCCAATTTTCTTGAATAGATCTCTGGTTTTTCCCATTCTATTGTTTTCCTCTCTTTCTTTGCATTGCTCCTTTAAGAGGGCCCTCTTGTTTCTCCTTGCTATTTTTTGGAAATCTGCATTCAATTTCCTGTATCTTTCACTATCTCCCTCACATTTTGCTTGCCTTCTCTCCCCCGCTATAGCCACAGTCAGCTCCAGATCTTGTTTTTGCTTCTCCATGTTTGGCTGCAGAATTGTGTAGCTAGCAAGAAGATATAATAAGATATCTCTTACTGTGAGTGCAGGGTTTATGGGAGGGGTGGTACCTTTGGTTGGGGAACACGTTGTGCTCCTTCTGGGGTAGTTTATTCACCTTTGGTCCCCACACTGCACTCGGCTCTCGCCTGTGGCTCCTAGAAGCTGTCAGCATGTGGAATCAGCCACACCCCAGGAAACAGCTTAGACTGGCTGGGGAAACCTGGTTAGGGTAGCCAACAGGAGAGGCAATGGGTATGTGAAAATGGAGGTGAAAAAGTGCCCAGGCTTAAGTACCCAGGCTTCAGCTCAGTTGGGATTGAGTATTTAAGATCTCACAGAAGAGCTGGGGAGTAAAGAGAAAGGGAGAACTGGTACTGTTTAGGGAGAAGATTTCAGGTTTAAGGCAGGCATCCCCAAACTTAGCCCTCCAGATGTTTTGGGACACAGTTCCCATCATCCTTGACCACTGGTCCTGTTAGCTAGGGATGATGGAAGTTGTAGTCCCAACGCATCTGGAGGGCCAAGTTTGGGGGTGCCTGGTCTAAGGGAATGGGTGGTTTGTGGGTGCAGGAAACCTTTGGGTGACTGAAGCAGCACAATCATGCCTTTTCATAAATTGTGACACACATTTTATGGTTGGAGATGAGGAAAGGGTTCTGTCATAAGTGTATGGATTGTGCATATGTGTATGTTTGGATCGTACATGTCTAACTCAGGAGTGGGAAAGCTGTGGCCCTCCAGGCGGTGCTGGACTGAAATCTTCCTCCTCTCTATTTATTGGCAATTCTGTCTGGGGCTGATGGGAGCTGGAGTCCAAAAACATTTGAAGGGTCAGAGGTTAGTCACCCTTTGTTTATGTGGTATCCACCCTGAGCTTGTAACATCCAAATATGTTTCTTCTCCCATGTATTTGCAAGCATAACTCGAGGCCACTGTGTGTGATATACATGTGTACACAGCCCCAATTGTGTTGGGCATCCAGGTACTAAATTGCTTGGGACTGGTAGATGGTGCACAATCTACACATAGTCTGCTTACTGCTTTTGATTTAAGACATCCTTTCCTTAACTCGTACCACCACTCAGCTCTGACGACACCATTAGGGACTTGAAAAAGCTCATTGCTGCGCAGACTGGCACACGGTGGGACAAGATTGTGTTGAAGAAATGGTGAGTAGAAATGAGCAAAGCATCAGGGCCCCTCAGGCAGTTCCCTCAGCTTGTTCTTAGCACTAACAATGCAATAGCACAGTGCATGCTTTCAGTACAAGAAGCCCAGATCTCCAGGTTTCCACACATGATTACAGACCTGCGTGGATGTTGTACTGCTTAGTATTGATCTTCGTAAACCACTTACAGTATTTGTATAGTTCCTTTCAACCGTAGTGGTTCTTCAAAGCAATTATCATCAAAAACAGCAATTGATAATATCAATTAAAAGCAATTAATTTTAAAGTATAATGAGCAATACCAAAACAAGGAAAATATGAAAGTGGCACAAAGTTCCAAAATTGCCAGGTAAAAATCAAACAGAAGAGCCGTGATAAAATAAATAAGTCTTTCTTGCCCTCTGAGAGGAATAGAAAGAATGTGCCAACCATACTTGGAGGAAAAGAGAATCTCATAGCTTAGGGGCAGGCCGTTGAAAAGGCCTTACTCTTCATTATGATAGGCTAAACTCCATAGTTGCAATGTGGAGTGGGCCTGATGGATAATTTTTAATGTCTAGGGTGGGTGTGCCTCATATAGAAAGAGGCTGGGGAAACCCAGCCACATGAAATTGTTGTTGTTGTTGTTAAGGACCAATTCCATTTAGGACTTTCAAGGCCAAATCCTTCAACCTGAGTTGCAGTAAGAAACAAATCTCTTAAAAATCCATCATGTTAGTTGTCAAAATTTTAACAATGTCATAATTGCCATATTTTATTGAGCTGTGTAACAAATTACGGTTGACTAACTGCCTTTCTTGTTAATGTTTTAGGTATACAATTTTCAAGGACCATGTTTCATTGGCAGACTGTATCCTTAAAAAATCTTGGTGATTTGCGGTAAATTAATAGGCTGGCCAGGTGGGTCCAGAGGGGGTAGGGGCAGGGAAAGGAAAGAAGGGGGTAATACTCTTCAGCTTGAACTGAGCAGATTTCGATCATGGTTAATTTATTTCTTTTTTACTCCAGTTGAGTGGGGTATAAATAATAACAATAAAAAATAATAAATAATTTACATAAATAAATTTATGTAAACTATTTCTCTACTACTTTATATCTATAAAATAATAATAATCACTTTCCCACCATGCACATAGACAGAAACTTGCTAGATGATCTCTGGAATCATTGTGCTTAATAATTTTCATACGTATCCAAGTGTGTAATGAACAGATGAACAACTTTTAAAGATGTGTAGATTGGTTTCTACTTATGAATGCTTTCCATAAAATATTGAAGTGAATTCACAGTAAAGACAACAATAAAACAATTAAAAACAGTACCATAAGTTTTAAAATATGACTACTCTGTGCAGTTGGGCAGCATTTAGAGCGAATCTGTTGGGATGTATATGTGCTTGGATAATTCATAAATTAAGTATGAATTTCAGCACCTAGGATAAATTTGAAAAGTATCATTATTCTGGCATTGTGGTAGATTTTTCCCATCATATACATCAAGCCCAATTTATAAAAATACAGAAATATTTTTCAGTGGAATTTCACCTTAACTCCTCACTTCCAGATGAAATTCATGATGGCATGAACCTAGAACTATATTATCAGTAGTTTCGTTGTGGCAGGTGCTGCCTTTTCTCTGTCTGTTTTTTTTCATTCTTCGTTTCTCATTTGACAAACTCTTGAGTATTTGGTTGCATGAGGTTTAGTTAAGAGTATTTTATCCCTGAGCGCAATATACCACGAATGAATACCAGGAAACTTGTATTCAGACTGTCTTTTATTGTTTTGGTTTTTAAAAAATCTTTATAATAAACGTGACCCGATATGTGTGACCTGACTCTGTGTGCAGTGTATCTTTAAAACACAGAAACCTTAAGTGAAAACGATATCTATAATACGTGGTGCATGGGTGGGCAGGCCTGAGTGGAGAGAGAGTTGGAAGGGGCCCATAGGGCCATCTAGTCCACCCCTGCAATGCAGGAATCTTTTTGTCCAATGTGGGGCTCGAACCTGCGACCCTGAGATGAAGAGTCTGGACTATCCAGACTCTCATGAGTTATTTAGAAATTAACCCGGGATAGTGGAAGATGGGGGAATCGAGAGTGGGTGTGCAGGCAGCGGGCGCCTGGCAAAAGGAACCAAATATTCTCCACCTTTTTGGTCTCTAGGTATAGCTGCCAACGTTTTCCTTTTTTTAAGGGAAATTCCCTTATTCCTAATAGGATTCCTCGCAAGAAAAGGGAAAAGTTGACAGCTATGTCTCTAGGCCTCAACCTTCTCAACCTCCGCCCTCCAGATGCTTTTGGCCTACAACTCCCATGATCCCTAGCTAGCAGACCCAGTGGTCAGGGATGCTGGGCATTGTAGTCTCAAACCATGTGGCGGGCCGAGGTTGAGGAAGCGTCTAGGCCACCATCCCGACGGGCCGCGGGCGGATTGGGCGCCTCTTTCTCTGGTAGGCGGGGCTTTCTCTCCTCCCTCCCAACTCACTGCGACCAATAGCGGGCGCGGAGCTCTGTGGCCTAGAGGGCGAGCGCGCGTGCGCCGCCGCCGTTGCTAGGCGAAGGTGGGCGTGGCCGGCTCTGCGCTTGTGCTCTGTGAGGCGAGGCAAGATGGCGGAGGAGGAGAAGCTCCCCGCGGGCTGGGAGAAGCGCATGAGCCGCAGCTCCGGTACCGCCGCGGAAGAGGGAAAGGGGCGGCGGGCGGGCGGGCGGAGGGCGAGGGCCCGGCAGGAGGGTGGATGGGCCTCGGGGGAGAAGGAGGGCGGAGAGGCGCCCTTCGCGGTCGGGGCCGGTCGCCTCGGAGGCCCTTTCTCGCCCCGGAGGGGAGGCGGGAGAGGGGCTGCGGGGAGGTGTCTCTTTCAGGGGGCGGGGGCGGGGATAACGGGGCCGATGGGGATTGCGGGGGGGGGGGGAGGAGCTTGTGGGACACAAGAATAAGAATAGCAACAGCGACGCAGTCGTAGAACCATAGAAGTATAGCGGTGGAAGTGACCCCCAGGGTCATCTAGTCCAGCCCCCTGCAATGCAAGAATCTTCCCCAACGTGGGGCTTGAACCCATGACCCCGGCATTAAAGGTCTCGTGCTCTGCTGACTGAGCTGGCTCAGAGAGAACAATCGTGGTTTCTCACTGCTTTTCATAGAATCGTAGAGTTGGAAGGGATCCCAGGATCATTCTAGTCCACCCCCCCCCCCCGCAATGCAGGAATCTCATCCGAAGCATCCATGACAGATGGCCAGCCAACCTCTGATTAAAAACCTCTAAGGAAGGAGAGTCCACCACCCTCCATCCTGAAGTAAAACAGCTCTTGTCTTCAGAAACTTTTTTCTGATGTTTTGTTGGAATCTCCTTTCTTATAACTTGAAGCCATGGGTTCAAGTCTTACCCTCCAGAGCCGGAGAAAACAAGCTTGCTCCATGTTCCACATGGTAGCCCTTCAGATATTGGAACATGGCTTCTTCCTTCCTACTCCTATTCCCTCCCCCCATTTATTTCTCCCCCTGCCCCTTTTCCATCCACCAAAAAAATATCCTGAGGGCTCAGGACCACTTACACTGTTCTGATAATAATAATAAATAACACAGCCCCATGGAAAAATACAGTGGTGCCCTGCAAGACGAACGCCTCGCAAGACGGAAAACCCGCTAGACGAAAGGGTTTTCCGTTTTGGAGGCGCTTCGCAAAACGAATTTCCCTATGGGCTTCCTTCGCAAGACGAAAGCCCATAGGGAAATCTCCGGGACAGCGGGGAAGCGCAGCGCGTCTTCCCCACTGTCCTCGGACCTCCTCCGAAGGCTGGCGGCGGGGCGGAGAGACCTCCTCCCGCCGCCAGCCTTCGTTTCTCCGCTATCCCGGACGGCTTTTGAAGGCAGGCGGGGGGGAGCAAAGACTTTCGCCCCCCGCCGACCTTCAGAAGAGGTCCAGGACCTCTTCTGAAGGCCGGCGGGGGGGGGGGCGCGAAAGTCTTTGCTCCCCCCTGCCTGCCTTCCCGGGGGCTTTTAAATCGCCCCAGACAGCGGAGAAGTCTCCGCTGTCCCGGGGTTTTTTAAAATGCTGGGGGTGGGAAGAAAACCCCTTGTCCCCCCCCAGCCTTCAGAAGAGGTCGGGGGACAGACTGTCCCCGGACCTGGTCTGAAGTCGGTTTCCATAGGAACACATTGATTGATTTTCAATGCATTCCTATGGGAAACCGTGCTTCGCAAGACGAAAAACTCGCAAGAAGAAAAAACTTGCGGAACGAATTAATTTCGTCTTGCAACGCACCACTGTATGGTGGTTTCTTCCTCCCTACTCCCACATCCCCCCCAATTATTTTTCTTCTCTTTCCCCACCCCACAAAAAAACCATATCCTGAAGGCCAAGGACTGTAATACAGTGCCCCCAGTTCCTGTTCCCTGGAGCCAGTCCAGGAGAGTACCATGGTCAATGGTATCAAATGCCAGTGAGAGATCAAGAATCAGGAGCAAGATCACACTCCCCCTGTACCGCTCTCTGCAAAGGTGACCATCAGGGGGACCAAGGCTGACTCAGTTCTATAGCCAGGCCTGAACCCATATTGGAATGGATCTGAATAATTATGTCATCCAAGAATGCTGCCTCACCACCACCTCTCTCTCCCCCCGCCCCCGTGGGTATGGGCATCTGGGTTGTATTTAAGCATTGGTTTTATCAGCAGCTATCTTTCATGAGTTTATCCAATGCCTTTGGAAAGCCATTCTGAGTCAGTGACCATCAACATCCCATAAGTGAAGCATTGTGCAAAATACTTGCTTCTGTGGTCTTGAATTTCCAGCTAGTCAGTATAACTGGGTCACTGTACATTCTATTCTTATGAGAAACACAATATCTTTTAAAGTTTTCTTAATATTAGCCCTGTTATCACTCCAGTAATTTGTTTTTAAAAGTAAAATAATAATAATACTGTAATAATAATTTTTATTTATACCCCACCCTCTCCAACCGAGACCGGGCTCAGGGTGGCTAACACCAAATAAATAAAGTACATTAAAAACAAAATTAAACACTCAGGTGTAGCCTTTACATATAGAGAAAGTAGTCCAATCACTTCAATGTCTTTCCTACACCTTTTCCAACTACAATATATTTTTTGAGATGTGGGGGATTAGAACTTCATTAGGTGAATATATAGCAGCATTCTCCCAATCTGATGCCCTACAGATGTGCAGAGCGACGAATTTTATAAGCTCCAGCCAATAGTGAGGACATGTGCTGGCTGGGGCTGATTTGAGTTGAAGTCCAAAGTATTTGGAGGGCACCAGGTTTGTGGAAATGTGTACCAAATTGCACATGTCCTCAGTATTGGGGTATATGAAGGGACATAAGAAGAGCCCCCGTTAGACAAGTCCAAAGGCCCACTTAGTCCAACATCTTACTCGTTCAGTGGCCAACTAGATGCATATGAGAAGCCTGCAAGTAGAGCCTGAAGGCAGTGGCCCCTCTCCTCACTTGTGATTTCCCACAACTGGTATTCTGAGGTACACTGCCTCTGAAAATGGAGGTAAAACATAGCTATCATGGATAGTAGCCACTGATAGTATTCCTTCTATGAATTCTAAGGGTTTGATGCCAGCTTTCTATGTTCACTTCCTTTCCTAATCCCAACATGAAAGCCACCCTTTTCCCACTGCTGCTGCACATAGAGTTCATTATTTTTTAACCATGTACCATGATGCAACGACATCTTTCCTGGATAGTCACATTGCTGTATGTATGAAAATGGCTTTGTTGTTACTATTGCTCCAGTTTGTTTCATTTTAAAATGACATTAAACCTCATTTGCCGTTTTCTTGCCATTCACCCATTTGTAAAGACTTCCAAAAGGATTGCTCCATTTCGCTCAAACCTTTGCCATCCTAAATAGTCTGTCTGCAAACTTGGCAAAGTTTGCTCACCTCTGTTTCTGTGTCATGCAGATCCTCCAAGAAGCATCTGTTCCAATACAGATCCTCACTGCTTATTTCCTTCCATTGTGAATATTGGCGTGTTCCTGTCCTCTGTTTCCCATTGTTTTACCAGTTTTTGTTCTGTAAGGGCATTTGCCCTTTCACTCAGTGACTACTAAGGGTTTCTTCACTGGTGTTTTTGTTAAGAGACTTTTTGAAAAGCATTTTGGAACTCTAGGTATGATTATCCCTGGCTGCACATGATTACCAACACTCAGAGAATTCTAAAAGGTTGTTGAGGCAGGACTGCACTGCAGAAGCCATGCTGATTCTTCTTAGTGATGCTTGTTCTATGTTAAATTGTACTTTGAATTGTGTTTTCTACCAGTTTATATAGGACAGAAGCTAGGCCAATAGGGTTGTTAGTTATGGACTCCCCTCTGCTTCTCCTTTCTTCCTTTATTTATTTATTTTCTTGCATGACCTTCACCATAAGGTCTCAGGCAGTTTAGAATATAATAAAACAGTATTAAAATCAATTAAGCAATTTGCACCAGAAGAATAGGGTGGATCCTAAAAATGGATGTTGTATTGGCTACCTCAGAAAGGTGTGCTGATGGTTGTGACAACTTTCCTATTAATCAGTGTGTGTTAACTGACCAGGTAACATCTTAATTTGTCAGATCTAGAACATCATCTCCTGCCACTTCTATTTGACTTAGTTCTTCAGGTGCCTACTCAGGGAAAAAGTGGTGAAGGCACAGTTATCTGCAGCAGGGTCCACAGTGAGAACGAATACAAATAATACATTCAGCTTCTCTCCTCCTCCTTTAGGAATCCTTTTACTCTTCTGTTGTCTAGCTGTTCAGCCATCTCCCTGCTTGTCTTTTCTGCTTCTGATAAATGATATTGGATTGTTATAGGTCATAGAAT